GATAGTTTACTGCGTAGCCTACGGTGACGGGAATTATAACGCAGGGCTATAGCTAGCTCCAAGAAACGGTATTGCTAGGATTAGAATACCTATAGACATATAGACAATCCGTCGCACAGCCTGGTCGGGCTAGGCTATAGCTAGCCTAACCCGACCAGGCTGTGTGACTAACGTAAATATGTGTATTCTCAGGCCCGCAGCCAGAGGGGGTTCGGGGGGTTCGAACGAACTCCCCGAGCCCCCCCAAGCAAAAAAAAATTTTTTTTTTTTTAATTTGCAAGAATTTCACCTCAGGTCGCTCCATTTTAGTGTAATAATTGCCAAATCTCCATCGTGCGGGAGGGTGAACAGTGAACACCCCCTCCCACACCCTCCCCCGCTCGGTCGCTTGGCTCCCTCGCCTGGTCGCTTCGCGCCCGAGCAGGGGCGTGTAAGTATCCCTAGTATAGTAGTAGTACTAGTAGTAGTACTAGATATTAGTAGTAGACTAGTAGTAGTGCTGAGAGAGGGTCTATGTCCCCCAGGGTACTGCCGGAACGTACCCTGGGTACGGTCCGGTATACCGGAACGTACCCTGGTACTATCTAATATGCCGGACCGTACCTCGTCTACTCCACTAACGAGTCTAAAGAGCGCCTACGCCTACTCCCCTAACCCGAACCCTAACCCTATACCTAACCCTAATCCTAACCCTAACCATATCAAATAGTGACCAGGGTACGTTCCGGTATACCGGACCGTACCCAGGGTACGTTCCGACAGTACCCTGGGGGACATAGACCCTATCAGCAGTAGGAGACTAGTAGTAGTAGTAGTAGTAGTACTACTAGTACTAGTACTACTAGTAGTAGTACAAAGACAGTAGTAGTACTACTACTAGTAGTCTAGTACTAGTACTATAGTACGTACTACTAGTACTAGTACTACTAGTACTACTACTAGCTACTAGTACTACTACTACTACTACTACTGCTACACTACTACTACTAGTAGTAGTACTACTATACTACTACTACTAATACTAATAAGTAATCAGTAGTATACTAGTAGTAGTAGTACTAGTACTAGTACCTAGTAATAATTTAATAATATACTAATTACTATATTACTATTAGTATTACTTTCCTTTATGTAACATACTAGCCCTAGATGACCATCATTTTGAAGCTAGTTATTTCTATAACTAGTAGGCATAATAGTAGTACGTTTTTGGTGAAATTACCTCTTGGAAGACCTTCCGGATGTGCTACTGTTAGACGAATCCATTACTGTATGTGCAAACTCCGTCTGTGTTTACAATGCGTTGCCATGCTGCCACACTAATTTTCGCAAGTCCCGCAAATGTTCGCCTATCGGCTAGCTGGCGTCTGGGCGTACGCAAGCGCTTTCGAAAATGGCGGTTGTGTTGAAGTCGAGCGTTTGTTTACATCGAATGCACCGGCAAATTAGGGCGTATCAAAGAAGTATATAAGCATAAAAGTAAACAGAAACACTAATTGTATTTGCATACATTTTATTTTGTACAAATAACACAAAAATATACTACTTGCTGGTGCTCGAAATTCGTGACGTAGACAGTTTAAATGTACTCGTGACTAACATACCCATATATAATGTATGACACGAATTGTACCAATTATTAGCATGCAGCATCGAAATGCAGCTAATAACAGCATGCAAGCTAAAATGTCCATGCTGTATATCATTGAAACCGCCCTAAGATGACTAACTGAAACACATAGTACTTTGCTAAAATGGGTTGCTTTGATTTTTTGTGACATCATTGAATTGCCATATATTTCAATTGTGAAATGATGGGGTAGGGTAGCTTATAATATGAGAGCCTGTCAGTTACAATAGTATAATAGACTATTGTGGGGCGCGTTATTCGTGCACGCACACAAAAACACAACGCTCGGATGACGGTGACTTAAGTTTATTCAATGATAACAAGCAAAATGTCACAACGACCGCGGTAACCACATCACAACAACGACGTAGGCTACGACTGTGCAGGCGACCCTGCAACACAGTTACGTCTGTGCAGCGACCCCCTTGTCAGCAACACTACTCCGGTAGGGCCAGCGTTCACTGCCCCGACATACACCGGCTCAGCATCACCCGCGTGTAATAAATCCACATCTGCACACACACGAGAACAGCTTGTCCAGATTCCCTCTGCGACAGAGATGGCACCTCTTCTTTCCCGCGCAAACCCAAGAACAAAGGCTTTATCCTAAATCCCCCCATAACTTTCGTACACTAACACCAGCGTCAGCACTATGCAGAGTAAGTCATGTACAAAACAACACTACAGACTCCGAATAAATGAGTGTACCAAAACACACGCTCACACACCCCCCAGTTTAAATCGTCGACATCCTAGTCGACTGACCACTCACACAGCCATCACGAGTTCTGGAGCCACTGACCCAGACTAGCAACCGCTTGTGCCAGGTCGCCAAACTGCATCGGCACCACAGCCGATCCAACTACGGCAGCCCCTTCGTCTGCCACCACAGACTTTGGGAGTGATGGGGATTCCCATGGTGCCCGCGCTCTGGGCGAGGGGTACGCCTGACCGGCGTCGAGTCTCCCTGTCATGCAAGCCGCCTCTCTCCCGCCATTCACGTGCACCATCGACAAGTTCATCTCCCCCAGGCCCCTCCTCAGGGTCTTCCACCCCCTGACCATCTTCCCTGGCGGTGTCCCCCGTGGCATAAGTGTCGTCCGAGTCACTGCCTGACTCAGACTCGTCGGTGACCCCCCCACCTCCATTTTCCTCAGGAGCTTCATGAGCCTCATGTTCCCCTTCCAACCCTTGGTCTTCCCTACCGGTGGTGTCCCCCGTGGCACTAGCGGTCTCCGAGCCATCACCTGACCCAGACTCGTCAGTGTCCCCGACACCCCTATCTTCCTCAGGAGCTTCGCCACCCTCCTGTCTCGCTTCCACACCTTTAAGAGCAAGGTCTCCCTTTTCCCGTGGGTGCTCTGCTTCTGCCCCCTGTATATCCATTCGGACCCACCTAAACCGTGGGCGTGTTTCTCCCTCCGGTGAATCGACAGGCTCCTCATCCGACCATGCGTCACTATCAGGCGCCACTGCTACAGCACCGGGGACCTCGACCGTGCTCTTACCATCTAACAGGCCAACACGATTTACTGCCTTGGTTGGCCCCACCCGGTCAGCAGCCTGCACAACGTACACATTCTGCTGTGGGTTTGGCCTCGCCACGACGACATATGGTGTTGGATCCCACATATCCTGAATCTTGTTCCGCCCCTGCCATCGGTTTTTCAGGAAGACTCTCCTCCCTACTGGCAGGTCAGTGTCCCGGACTTCTTGTTCATCTGGTGTTGACGCTGCAGAGCCTCATGCCCAGCCGCTGTTCCGCGGCCTCAGAGCTTCACCAAGCTCTGCCTGTGCCCAGCCACCCAGTCGTCAACACCGTCCGTGTCATCAGAGTTGTCCCCTGATTGACTCCAGAAGAGAATCAATGGGCAACCGTGGATCTTGCCCAAACATAAGAAAGTATGGGGAATAACCCGTCGAGGAGTGTATCGTTGCGTTGTACGAATACACCAACTCCGGCAGGTGTTCTGGCCATTTGCTCTTCTTTTCGGCCTCAGCGTTCTCAGCCGGTCGTGCATCGTCCTGTTGAAGCGCTCGCACTGGCCATTCCCTTGAGGTGGTATAGGCGTAGTGCGGACTTTTCGACACCGTAGACGGCACATAGCCTCGGTCAAGGCACTCTCAAAGTTGCGCCCCTGTCACTGGCTGGACACACACACACACACACACACACACACACACACGCACACATACAAACAAAGAAAAGTAAAGAAAGGGAGAGGAGAATGAAGAGCACATATTAACTGAGTTTAATGTTTGACGACGAAGCAAACGTTAGAAGTGATTGCTCGACTAATTTAGACGCAATTTAAATTAGCAGTCGTCAGACTCGCTGTGCGGGAACTAAGAGTGAGATTGCAAATCAACGCGTGCTATAGTTGTCAGAAAAATTTCCATGTGCTCTAACTAGACAACTATTGATTCACGTAAAATGTTGGCAGTATCACTTTAGTTGATTAGTGTTTAATAGTTGTAAATGAGAAGTAATGCTTAATGGAATAAGAATATCGGCAGAAATATCGCGTGGGTAATTATAATAGATGGTTTGCCTTGTCCAACGCATTCAATAAAGATGACGTTAATTGTTTATATAAACCGTGCAGCGAAACAAAACAGAAAGTTATAAAAAAGGCAAGTATTTCACAAAACAAAACCCTCTGGAGGGATTCCTTTTATTGATACCATACTTTCCTATAATGTAAATATACAATTAAAGTACCACCATAAACATTAGCTAACCAAGGCACGCATTATTAGCTTTGTAATTAACCGTAGAAGTTCACTACCCGTGGTACTATATCAAGGAAAAACACGCACGTGGTAACAAGTATAACGCTAACCGTAAATATATAAGCTGCTACAATATAAAATCAAGCGATATTATATCCTATCGTTGATTGTATCAGGCGTGAATAGAAACAAACGTGTTTATTTTCGCACCTGACTACAAGAATGACTAGGCGTGTTGAACAGTAACTGTTATTGAACGCGTACATGAAATGCTCCCACGCGGTAACAACGCGATGGATGATGCAATAAAGTGACGGAGCCGTCCTATAGATGTCACTAGCTGTACCGCAAAAAGTTTGACACCAAAAATACCGTCTTTACTCGTGTATAAGCGCACTTTTTCGTACACAACTTCAATAAAAAAAATAAGGGGTGCGACTTATACATAAGGCTAAGAAATCACTACTAGTATTGGACCAGTTTCATGCACACAAGACAGAAAAATGGGGTGCTACTTATACACGAATACTTCTACATGAGTAAATACGGTATATCTTTCGGTTCACTTTGTGATGGCTATATGATTATCTGCTCTATGCAATAGACTGGCGTAGTTTCACGAAACGTAAAACTTGATCATTTTATCTATTGCCAAAGACCTTATTTTGGAAACGCGCCGAATTTATAGTACGTTCATTTCGAACCGAGTATTGAGATTCGCGGGCACAGATAGCAGGAAAATACGGTGCGATTTACATACACAACGAATCTAACATGGCGTCCCTACACCATTAGCGGGGCATTGTGTGGAAATGATAATTAAGCTAGTATATGAGTCTACACTGTACATGTCCATGTGACGGTGAATACACATACGAAAACCGACAGCGTCATTGTATGTCATGGTTGCAATTATAATATAGATGTTTTGAAAAACACGCACGCACGCACACACACACACACACAGACATACACACATAATTACACAGTCTGCTTTAAACCGATTTTGTTTATGTACAACATGTACTTTTCACCTAGTATACACTTCATATAAACTTGGACTTTGTTCTATATAGTTTTCTATTTGCTGCAGAGAGGAAAAAGCTAATATGTTATATATATATATATATATGAGCTCAACCAATGTTACCGTCTGTAATGGACCCCCACGTGAATACCCTGAGGTGTTAATCTACGATATACTATTGAGATACACTTCCCAATAGGAAATTGTTTGCAATAGGGGATTCTTAATATTTATCGAGTCCTGCTCTGTAATAGCAACTCACAAAGTAACAACAACAGTAACAGAAATGCTGGATACTACTAAAAAATTATTATATACATATAGGTCAAGAGCCCATAATAGAAAATTAATAGTTCATGATTTTTTATTATGGACTCTTGATATAGGTGGTTTCAGCAATGCGGATAGCAATACAGGGTTTAAATGTGAGGTGTTCACATTGCACTCATAGCCTCACCAACCACTACTCATCGAGTTGCTGGTTCTTATTAATACAATGGCAATAAGCAATACAATGGAGGATCAAGTCTACCAGCACTGCTTGTTGTAATATGGTGTGATCCGATTGGTGGAAATCGGATCGAATTATCAACGGTTAATGTACCCATCACGGTGAACAGGACATGCCACCATTAACATTTATATTGAGACATTTATATTAGACAATAATAAAATAAACTAGTTTTATCTGAGCACATCAGAATATACATAGTACTTAAACAAAACTATAAGTATGTGGGTTTGCTGCAGGATTTTTAGGTGTAACCCCGTCAAAAGAAGTTGAAGGCTTAGCAGAAATTAATGGTCACCACTACAAATATATATCTCAAAATAGTTCAAAACACTTCCCCCATCCGCGTACACGATTCTATCGCATATCTGTCTGTGATAAGCTGCCGCCATCTGGATTGTGACACAGTAGTTAACTAGACTTATAGTGCTGACTCGGGCATAGACATGCCCAAAATTAACAAATCATATGGCATGCTGCATAGTGTTTATCAAGATAAACGGAGAGTGAAAGAATGTGTGTGCGTGCGCCGTGCATGCGTGCGTGTGCCGTGCGTGCGTGCGTGCGTGTGTTAGAGGGAATGAGAGGTGGGAGAGCAGTTCTATCCATCAAACACTCGTGCAACCTATATATAGTATTCATATGGATGGCACTAACACAAGTGCTTCTCCATATTCACGTTTAGAGATACATGTATTTTAGTATACCTTACTTAAACACAATTACGAGTTGCGAAAAATAAAATTAGATTACAATATTTAGAAAGACCATGATCCACATTAAACTTAAGTACAAAATAATGCTAGTAGAAACGATTGACATTCCTAAAAATCTTATAAATGTCGATTAGGGTCATTTCACAAAGTACTAGCATGCAGCAAGAACACTGTAACATAAAACACCGTATGACTACAAAATAAGTGCTTTACTGGAACTTGAGTTTAATAATAAAAAAAAATTCTATTTAAAAATGTCATTATTAGGTATCTTCGTTCTATCCATTATTTCATCACATGTGTATACAAGACTAGCCACACTCCTCTCACATGTAATATTATCAGGAGAACCATATTTATCACGATTCTCCTACCAGTATCCATTAGAGGCAGCTACACGAAACAAACTACAATTAGAAGCGTGTACTGATGAATGGAGTACACCCACAGCGCTGAGGTTTTTAAAATATATCACAAACCGTATGCCCACACAGAGACTACCTATATAAACAACGTCATTAGTATGGTGTTCACTTATCGATGGTATGGTGTTGGACATACACAAACTGGGTAAATATTTAATTCAGGAGGAACATTCATGCAGAAATATATAAAATATTTACTTTTTTATGTAAAGAATTCCCAAAGGTGATCCCCCTCCCCCAAATGAGGAATAAATATATCCTTAATCAGCAGTGACAGGTATCAGCATTGAGCGTAAACTGCAATAAGTTAAGTCAGATGTGTTGACAGTATAACGCTGTAGCCTTGAAGTGATGAGTTGTGAGCACTCCAAGACCGGCTATAAGCACTTAAAAGGTGATCTAGATATCCAACCATAGATTGACCTCTTATGGCATGCATCGATGAAAATGTCTGAAGTAATTTTGCTGTAAAATTGTCGTTAATGATAATTAGATCATTTCATAATAAAGATTGAGAAAAACCAGCTGGTTACTAGGGAAACAAATCCACATTTCCAGGCCACCCAAAAATGGATTCTAGTTTGCATAAACCCAACCCACTATTTTACCTGCATTTTTCCCCAGTTTTACACACCTAATAGTGTCATATTACTGTGGAGAAATGACAATTTCATGCTAAATTTAGCCAGAGTGATTTTCACTGGTTGAGCCATGTTTGGGATTAGAAGAAACAAGTTAAGGGTGGCTGAAATGTCCTGCAATAATTAATTCATAATCACAGGGACTTGCGTCTACAGCCACACGATCTTCAATCATACACTAATAATGAATGTCACTACTTATCTGGAGCGGTTTTTTACAAGCTTATCTCAATTTGATAATGAGGTACTATCACTATGTCACGGTTATTTTCCATGGGGCCAACTTATAGCATATTTTCTTATAAATGTTTACACCGATTCTGTCATTTGTGTGAAAGAATTATACAAGGAATCCGCCTCCACAGACTATTATTACGCTAACAAGATATGCTGCATGCAACGCATTTTTCCACACATGAGATGACCAGCACTCAACCACTCACGATAAAAGACAACACGTAAAATAGCGGGCACGTGGTAGGTTGTGTCATACAGCATACTGGTAAGGTTGGTGCTTCCCTGGTCTGGTTGGCAGATGAAATGGACTGAACCAAGTAGGAGTGAATGGATTACCAAACACCTCTTTCAAACTCATCCAGTAGGTGTTCCTTTCCCATGTTGGCTGCTCCTTCTTCAACTGTTCTATGCCCTGCAAGAAAACCATGACAACATAAATCCGTGCCCATCGATTTAACCAGGCTAGACAGTAGACACAATTTGACATGGATCATAGCATGCACACCCACACTCACACATATGCACATACACACACATATTGCACTATTGCACTTGCATGCAAACGGGCACAATTCAGGCATGACTACACACATACGCATACACGAACGCACCCACACACGCATGCGCGCACACACGCAAATGCCTGTGCAGACACCTTCAGTCAGACATACTCTGCGATCACTTACCGTCTCATCAGCACAAATAGCTGATAGCTGAGTGCCAAACATAATGGCAGTGAAAAGTGCAAACAGTAATCCCTCCAGCACCAGGAATATGAGAAAAACGGCTGTCGCCGGAGGCGAGAAACCGCTGCAACCTGCAAGACGCGGAAGTAAATCTGCAACGGCAGAAACAGAAAACTCGCTTTCAGCCATATAACGAACAGTATCTTGAGCAGTTAACGATTTTGTATTTTCAGCGTGAGCTATGACTAACCAAGGACTAACTAGTACAGCCAATACATTCATTACAAAATAAACAATTGAGTTTGAGTTGATAAACGGAACAATAAATCATTGAACTAGGCTATTATACCCATATATACATCCTGCATACATATTTTTAACCTTCTAGAAAACTTTCTATTGGCTAAGAGTTAATGAATATATTTTTGTAAAGACTATGCTTTGCATTTCTAATTAAGATGAGACTTGCTTTTGAAAACTTTTTTTGCCAAAACACATTTAAAGGCGCATTTATGTGTCAGTCCCTGGTCAGCACTATAGTTGTTATCCTACTCAGCGAATTCATCAAGTACTCTCACAAAGTATGAACAAAATCTCACCTTTCCAGTCCCTATCCACACAGGTGATGAACTGGTACACAACCATGATTATAGCATGAATGGAGATAATGCATATGTAGAACTGAAACAGGAAAATATATATAGAGCATGAATTAAGGATGAAGACTTTCCCCAAAACACCAATTCTTTCATTGTTAATACAACCTTTTACACAATCTACACATGTACTATTTTAACTATTGACCTGGGATGCAAAACCAACTTTATAATAATGCACCTGGAGGGCTAATTCAATTCCAAAAGATGAAACAGCTAAATATTGATACAGACCTGTTGAAAATTCTCTCAAATAAAAAAAGATACATAGGCAGTGTGCTCTGTGATTACTGCTCTAGTTGATTATAGTGGCAAAGTATTATTACTGACTAAATACCGTTACGTACACAGGTACCCATCTCCTATAAACAAATTTTCATACTAGAACCAAGATACCAGTTAATTTACGACGTATTCTGACCACATTGGCCAAGTTGCTTTACATATATATCATAATACATGTGATGCATTCAAGTACATAATAGAATTCAAATGCACTTACTGTGAATAAAACAAAGTACTTCTGGTTGTTTTCACCTACACAGTTGTTTACCCATGGGCAGTGATGATCCATCTTCTTGATACATCTCTGGCAAACACTGTAAATAAGAAGGTCCCCGTCAAAATTCTCTAAACATGCTTACTAAGAGTGACAAATTTAAATATATGCAGTGGTGAGTTGCAGCATAGGCCTGTAGTGTTCGATTACATACAGAACCATATACCTACAAAAAGAGCTTGAAACATCTAGATGCCCGGTCACCACAAGCAACTGAAAATGCTGCAGGGAAATTGAAACTTGTCTACACACTCATCCCCACTCGCCTGAGAATGAACTGATAATGATCATGGATGACAAAATTATTGCCAACTGTACGCAATACATCACCTAAGGGGGTTGAGTCTCAGAAACAATATTAATACTCAAATTAGGCTACCTGAAATCTTCACAAGTTTTGAGCACTGGCTACAAGCAAAAAAGTACTGCCAACACAACATACATTACTTACATTTAATACAAAGTTTTCTAGATGGTAAAAAACTATGTGAATTGATCCATCTGTTTTTTGTATGGACAACAAATATGAACATTAGTTTTCTATACAGCAATATCATTATTGGTCACACACACAAACAAATCCCCTTATATACATGTATGTGCTCACGCATCTCTCCACTTGCTTTTGCCTATACTAATTAATATTAGTATACACACAGAAACCAGAAATCACACATGTATGTACCTGCAATGGTGAGCTCTCTCAGGTTTAATACTGCAACATTTTGGGCACTTGAAGACAACCTGTCCAGCCTTCAGACCCATTTTCTCTATGGTCGCTTGTGTTGCATTGCCACGTGGTACAGCTCCCTTGGAGTAAATAAATCAATAAGTTAGTTCATCAGCTGCAAATCCAATTATAGGTAAACTCGTAGGGAAACTCTTACTGCCCCCTAAAACGACTTGGAACAAAGGTTTGGACGCTTACTGAATGTTTCCGGTGATTGAGTTGAGGACGACCATGTAGGGAGTTGAGAAACACAAACCCTGAGAATTTCACCCCACGACGGACCATGGGTAAATATATATTATATATATTATATATATATATATACATATATATATACATATAGGTATTATGGAATTGTTACCTGGTTGCAAAGGAAACACGGAGTTTTATGGACAAAAAGTTAATGTAGGTTAAGGGGGTAACATTGATTTTCGAGGTCCACAAAACTCCCTATTGCCTAAACAACTAGTCAAATGTGTTTTATATATAAATTATACAAAAAATCATGAGTTAGTAATACTAGGGGAGATTTCCACTCTAGAAATACAAGTCCACATACCAGCCTTAGGCTTACTAAGATATATTACCTCAGTAAACTCAAATGTCATATCAAACATCCAATAACCATTATCCTGGATAGTTTACGGTGTACATAATCACAATCCAGATCCATAAACTGCAATCAATGTCATTTGGACAATCACCACTCATGCCATTTTGCAACACAAATCGCTGTGACATCTGTCGTGGACATTATTATGGCTCATAGGGTCTATGTCCCCCAGGGTACTGTCGGAACGTACCCTGGATACGGTCCGGTATACCGGAACGTACCCTGGTAACTATTTGATATCATTGGTTAGGGTTAGGGTTAGGGTTAGTGTTAAGGGCCGGACACACTAGGCGATTTTAATGCGATCTAATCGGGCAACTTTATCGCCCGATTCTATCGCGCGAGTCGAGTGGACACATCACGCGATTTAGTCGCGCGACTGAAATAATCGCCCGATAATATCAAAACGTTTCGATCGATTCGATTGAATCGGGCGACGAAATCGGCGGCGACTGACTGGACACATTAGGCGATTTTCACCGGCGATTGAGTCGCCCGATAAAATCGCCTAGTGTGTCCGGCCCTTTTTGGTTAGGGTTAGGGTTAGGGTTAGGGAGTAGGCGTAGGCGACTCCCTAGACTCGTTAGTGGAGTAGGCGAGGTACGTCCGGCATATTAGATAGTACCAGGATACGTTCCGGTACACCGGACCGTACCCAGGGTACGTTCCGGCAGTACCCTGGGGACATAGACCCTCTCAGCATTATTATGGGGTTCAGCAAAAAATCCCTTGTCTAGTACATTCTTGGTTTTTTAATCCCCCTCTGGGTGTTTTACTGTCATTATACTTTACCTTATCTGATAATCAGTCATTCATTGCTAACATGGCAGTGTTCTGTTCTACGTGGACAAACAAGACAAGACGTCTGGCTAGCTGGAGCCACGCACAACTAGTGGCGGTTATTATACAAACACCAACTGCGCATGACACGCGCATATATTCAGTAACAATAGAACATCTCCCCCGTTTTCAAAAAAAATTACACAAATTAAGTCACTCAGTATAACTATTTACATCTAGATAGTATCAATCTGGGTTTTACCACCCTACCATAACGCGTGGTGTATAATTATAAGCCAGAATCGATCCTTTTTGAATCACTCTCGCTGGACAGATTTCTTAAAGAAATCCTTTACTCTAGGTTCTAACTTCTAGGCTTATTTTCAGTTAATTTAGGTTAAAATCACGATACATAAAAGGTTTCATGGTTCAATCCCCATTAAAAAATTTTTTTTTTAAGTTTTAAAACTAACAACTACAGTTTGATTACAACAACGGTGGCGCCACTCAAAGCGCACGATCTGAAAAGTTGCGCAAAATGACTTTTCAGCCAAGAGCTACAGACCGAGGTTGTTTCTTATTTATTAATTTAAAAGCAAAAGGATTGTAATATCTTATAAACGACATATAGTTTCAGTTAAATTATGGATAAATGTGTCCTAAAATGAACATCGTTCGGTTAAATAGCATTTCTAGGTATAAATATAATTGCACCTTTGTGATTAGCCCTAGGTCTAGCTGTAACGTGCAAAATATATTGGGAAATGCGCAACTTTTTCAGGGTGGCAGCACGGTAGCACTAGCAGGTGTCAATGGCGCCCTTCAAATTTCGTAGCGTTGATGTATAATTAATGATAACAATTAAATTAGGTATCTGGTAACAAGTACGTGTGGGTATAGACGATTTGTTATACAGTAACTACAGTTGTATGCAGTAAAATCCTAGAGTCCAGTATCCCTTTAACTTCAGGCTGCTTTGCTGAGATTTGTGTAGGCGGGTCGGATGTGATAGGGTTCACGTTGTAGGACGCTAGTAGCTTCTCATCGACACTAACGCTAGGCTGTATAGGACTGTCCCCATTCTGCTTCATAGCAGGATACATAGCCGACACAGGTGGCTTCACCAGATGCCTCCGATTCCGCCGGTATACAGTGCTCACCATCTGACCAGTGTACACACAACATACGAATGCTCATCATGCTTCCCAGATACCACTGCAGGGAACGCCAGGGATTCACCTCCCATTACCAGTCTGTACTCTAACACCATCGCCAACTTCTAAAGAACAGAGCGGTTGTGCAGACTGGTCATGGTACTGCTTATACTTATGCTGGCTATCATGTATAGATCTGCTGCCTTACTATGTATGGATCAGGGGTGCTGGGCTTCAGTAACTGTGCTGACGTAGGGACAACCGACCTGAGTCGTCTTCCCATCAACAACTGTGATGGTGAATAACCCAAGCTCAATTGAGGTAGTAAGGTACTCGAGCACACAAATGCAATAGTCTTTACCATCAGCTTTAGCCTTGCTGAGTATTCTCTTTACTGTCTGAACAGTGCGCTCAGCGAGACCATTAGACCTAGGATAATGGGGGCTAGACGTTTGGTGCACAAACCCATACTGCTTCGCAAACCATGCAAATTCCTGCGACGCATATTGCGGACTGTTATCCGACACACACTTCTCCGATATTCCAAATCTGGAGAAAATGCGTTTTAGCCGGTTGATAATGAAGTGAACACCCCCCTCCCACACCCTCCCCCCGCTCGGTCGCTTGGCTCCCTCGCCTGGTCGCTTCGCGCCCGAGCAGGGGCGTGTAAGTATCCCTAGTAGTAGTAGTACTAGTAGTAGTACTAGTATAGTAGTAGTACTAGTAGTAGAGCTGAGAGGGTCTATTTCCCTTGGGGGTACTGCCAGAACGTACCCTGGGTACGGTCCGGTATACTGAAACGTACCCTGGTACTATCTAATATGCCGGACCGTATCTCGCCTACTCCATTAACGAGTCTAGAGAGTCGCCTACGCCTACTCCCTAACTCTATACCTAACCCTAATCCTAACCCTAACCATATCAAATAGTGACCAGGGTACGTTCCGACAGTACCCTGGGGGACATAGACCCTATCAGCAGTAGGAGACTAGTAGTAGTAGTAGTACTACTACTACTACTAGTAGTAGTACAATAGACAGTAGTAGTACTACTACTAGTAGTCTACTAGTACTAGTACGTACTACTAGTACTAGTACTACTACTACTCCTACTACTACTACTACTACTACTACTACTACTACTACTACTGCTACTACTACTACTACTACTACTAGTAGTACTACTAGTACTACTACTACTAATACTAATAAGTAATAGTAGTAATACTAGTACTAGTAGTAATAATTTAATTAATATACTATATTACTATTAGTATTACTTTCCTTTATGTAACATACTATTACTAGGCCCTAGATGTACCATCATTTTGAAGCTAGTTATTTCTATAACTAGTAGGCCTAATAGTAGTACGTTTTTGGTTGAAAATTACCTCTTGGAAGGACCTTCCGGATGTGCTACTGTTAGACGAATCCATACTGTGTGTGCAAACTCCCGTCTGTGTTTACAATGCGTTGCCATGGCTGCCACACTAATTTCGCAAGTCCCGCAAATGTTCGCCTATCGGCTAGCTGCGTCTGGGCGCTACGCAAGCGCTTTCGAAAATGGCGGTTGTGTTGAAGTCGAGCGTTTGTTTACATCGAATGCACCGGCAAATTAGGGCGTATCAAAGAAGGTATATAAGCATGAAAAGTAAACAGAAACACTAATTGTATTTGCATACATTTTATTTTGTACAAATAACACAACAAAAATACTACTTGCTGTGCTCGAAATTCGTGACGTAGACAGTTTAAGAACCGTTTACGCACTCCGATAATAATTTCAGTTGAGAAACATTCCAACAGTCAAATTAAGCGTATCTTGATTACAGACTTAATAGAGCTGCAGCACATTTGTTGCCTGTTGTTGTCACGATCGCGTTCCAAGTTCGCACAAACAGGGCTTTTCGATACCAGCTGTTCTCTTGGGTTACAATATTCACGATGTCTACATCGGCGTCATTTTCATCAATTGGGAGTACTTACGGCGGTAACGCTCAATAGGGTTGAGCGCTACATTTCACTAATTATTATCACAACATTCTCACATTCATATTAGTGCTTGTCAACTCAATGTAAATTGCTATCATATTCAGCGTTTGCGGCGGCAAGTGATCGTCGCATTCCTTGGCCTTGGGCCAGCCACTTCCACTCTATCCCTATACCACGCAGGGGCGTAGCCAGTATGTATGCACATGTAGGCGCCGGGCCTACACTTTTTTGGCCAAGTTATCTTTTTTTTTTTAAACACCCATTAATTCAAATGCCATAAGCTTGCTGGACGAGTTAAGAGTCTAGACAGGAAAAACTATTGAAAATGAAATCGTACAAGAATATGGCTAAATAGTGACGCTATTCTTCATGTCATCTAGGTGTCATTTCTATCGCGTGGCGTTTCATCAACACGTCTAACCCCGCGCCGAAAAAGACGTAGATCCGATCTTGTCAGTTTTTTAAGCATTTTAACTCGGTTCGTAACACTATTTTAACTCGTTTGTTTTTTGGTTTAAAAAGATGATATTGAATGAAGGTGTCTCAAGTTAGCAAGAGGCCAGGGAACCAGTAATGAAAACACTCGGGAAGGGCGTTTCCACCATCGGGGTTTGTAAAACAAAAAATTTTCTTGTACGCATCCGCGCCAACCATGGTGGCGCTACCGCTCAGATAAGTCGTGCCTACAAACTTTTCGAAAATCCTGGCTACGCCCCTGACTACACTACACAATACATGTTAATCCAGCTGATCTCTATAATATAATCTATAAAATCCACTGAATGCTCTAATAATATTATTATAGAGGATCAGTGGTTAACCACGTAACTTTTCACTCGAAGCAAAACCATTGTGGCTAAGTACCGTACTCTGCACATCATTTGATGTGCTACAAGAAATCCACAGTCCAAATCCCCGACGTATTTTTCGTAACTGCTCACAAACAAGAAGTCCCTCATATTCGGTAAGAATACTGGTGTAGCAAATGCATGGGACTTCCAAGGTTATGAAACAATTATTCCAAAGATATTGTTGGTAATTGTAATTAGCTGATTTTATTCCCGTATCAGACTGCAAAATTTGATCAGTCACACTAATACTAGTCCGGGCCAGGCGCATGCCTAGACTGCAGCAAAATCCGCAGGGCTAGCATACAGACACAAAACTGAGTGCTAATTGGCACGGGATTGACTGTGCATGCT